CAGAGTGTGTTTGATGATATATGTGTGTGTGTGTGTGTGAGTGAGTGAGTGAGTGAGTGAGGGAGTGAGTGTGTGAGTTAAAAGCTGTTTGACTGCAGAGTGTGTTTGATGATATATGTGTGTGTGTGTGTGTGAGTGAGTGAGTGAGTGAGTGAGGGAGTGAGTGTGTGAGTTAAAAGCTGTTTGACTGCAGAGTGTGTTTGATGATATATGTGTGTGTGTGTGTGTGAGTGAGTGAGTGAGTGAGTGAGGGAGTGAGTGTGTGAGTTAAAAGCTGTTTGACTGCAGAGTGTGTTTGATGATATATGTGTGTGTGTGTGTGTGAGTGAGTGAGTGAGTGAGTGAGGGAGTGAGTGTGTGAGTTAAAAGCTGTTTGACTGCAGAGTGTGTTTGATGATATATGTGTGTGTGTGTGTGTGAGTGAGTGAGTGAGTGAGTGAGGGAGTGAGTGTGTGAGTTAAAAGCTGTTTGACTGCAGAGTGTGTTTGATGATGTTCAGTCATTACCTCTGGAAGAAACTGACTCACTGTAGCTTTGAAAGCTCATGAGAAACCTTACAGAATGAACAAGATCTGGCAGAAAATTTATTGGGTTTAAATACTCTGAATGAACGAATGAATGAACAAAACCAAAAAAAAAAAAAAAACACCTGGAAAAAATTCAGCACAAAGATTTGAAAATAAAAGTGAAATCGAGACCTGAAAACTGATCTGTGCAACACAAATGAACCGTCTGATCTCTCTCCCTCTCTCCCTCTCTCTCTTCTCTTTCTCTCTCTGTCTGTCTCTCCCTCTCTTCTCTCTCTCTCTCTCTCTCATTAAATCCACACAAGTAAAGTTCTGATGGCACTTTCAGCAAGAAGCAGGGAAGATCTTTAAACACATACAGGTGAATCTATGATGTCCCTGAAGTAGAACACGTCCTCCTCTGAGAATCACTGTCTGAAGACATTCACACAGAGACAGACAGACAGACAGAAGTGTGCAGAATTATCACGTCTGCTTGTTTGTTGTGATTCCTGACAGTCAGAACCTGTGGAAACAGCTTAGACTGATGTTTACTGCTCATTGCAGCTTTAAGAGGAATGTTTTTCTGCAGGAATCTCAGCTGAATGTGGCTCTGTAGCGCCGCCTGGTGGCCATGAGGTGTAATCAGAGGATGAAGGAAAACAGTCATAACATCTGTTTCATAAAACTAGTTTACCAAATAAGCCAGGTTTATTTCAGTTAGTCTGATTTATTTTCACTTGATTTGGTTTCATAAAGCAAAATTACAGTCACTGTGGCAACTTATGCTGGGAAACTAACCTGGTCTGGAGCAGGCTAACTGTCAGACTAAACCCGAGTTGTTGCTTAACCAGAGCTCCTCTATCAATGACCTGCAGGGAATACATGAAATCAACATTAAGAAATCATGTTTTAAACTGCATTGTTTATGTACTGTAAATAAATAAATAAAGTTACTAAGTTAAATGTGTCTGGTGGGTGTGAGTTTCTCATAAAAACTCTATAAATAAGGACCTTTTCCTGACAGCTACCTCTATGAGCGGTACAGGTTCTCGAGAGAAGGGATTGTATATATTCGTAGCTGTATTCTGATTTTCTCCACAGTTTAATTTAAGTTACCCACATCCCTCTTTAGGCAAACCGGCTTGGCTCAACCCATGACTCCAGAACACGTCGAGCCTCTTCTGTTGCCCAGCAACTGGCACAAGGTAGGTTATTAATGGAAAATGTACAGGTTTAAAAATAAATTCACCAATTAGTAATTACAAAAGAATAAATTTTGACTCTATCCAGGGAATTCTCAGGAGTTTTGCTGGGAGACAAGGGCTGACTCCATACCAGGAACCCCAGACTCAGACACAACACAACTATAACTTGCCCATGCACGCACAAGAGCTCGTATAGAGATGGCATTTGCTCTCATCAAATCAAGGTGCCAGTGCCTGAAACACCTCAGAGTGACTGCACAACGGGCTTGTGACATTATTGTTGGTGGTGTTGTGCTCCATAACATTGCCAGCTTGAGAAAAGAAAGGCCACCACGGATGCTGCAGAGGAGGACTGGGGCTATGAGGTGGCTTTTGATGACAAAGAAACAGCAGGCAGCAGGCAGTTATAAGAGACATTTATGCAAATAATTCTTTTGGTTATCATATTTTTTCAAGTCATGTGAAGGCTTTCATTTTATGTTTGTAGCCCTCTACTTGCCCCTCAATTTCATTACACAACACACACAAGTCACATAATTTGTATTTCATTTATTATTATTTTTTTTTAATTTCAACTTAAAGCTGGCTGCTGGAGAAGAAAAACAAAACACATACGATTAAATGGTGACCAAAATGTCAAGTGTCAGTGTTTCATCACAACAGTTCTCCAGTTTTTGGATTTCCAGCTCCAGCTTTCTCATCTTCAACTTCTTATATTGAATGTCTACATCCAGAACATCCATTTCTTTAAGGAGGTAGCACTTCCAGTTCCAGTCTGACTGGTTTCTGGAAGGATGTCAGCGTCCTGCAGCCAATAATTTTTGGAAAATATGTACCGTGAGCACCTGACCACACAAGTAGGCTTTAGATATACGATGTGCAATCATCGCTTACCTCAGGCTGACACGCTCTCCTCATCCTCCTCAGTTGTAGATGGGTCTTCCTCCTGAAACTGAGGTTAATGATCACCACTTAACATGGACAGTAAATAAGTGCTTTAAACTCTCACATACTCACAGGGTTCAACAGGACATCTGGTGGCTCCAACAAGCACACAGAATTTGCCATCACTATGAAACAAAACATGTTAGAGCAAAGATTTTGACAAGAAAAAGCAAAAACCTATACATCAACCTTTTATGAAGTCACTCCTTCTATTAGGTGGTATGGTTTCAGAAGCTGTTCCCTCAATGACTGGCCTCCGGTTGTTCAGGTCCAAGGCCAGCTCCTCTGCAGGAGTTAAGGTGTTGGTGGAGGCCCGCCCCCAGTTACAGCTACATCCAGAAGCCCCTCCCTGCAGAACACAAGACCCAGGGGGCGTGGCTGGATCCACATCTAGGGGGTGGAGATTGGTAGGTTTAGGGGTGAGCTCTGGGAGATGGGTGGGTTTAGGGGTGGAGCTCTGGGAGGTGGGTGTGTTTAGGGGTGGAGCTCTGGGAGATGGGTGTGTTTAGGAATCAGGGGGTGGAGACGGGTAGGTTTAGGTATATGTAAGGTGGGAGGAGTTGGATATGGATCCAACCACGCCCCCTGGATCTTGTGTTCTGCAGTGAGGACCATCTCGCGAAAACGGCCAAAAACGCTGTATTACATACGCCAGGCCAGTAGTTGGCGCTGTCACCTTGTTAGTAAAGAGTACCTGTAGGGAAGTGACAGTTATATGTTGTATATGATGCGTCTCCGCTGTTGGTTGTAATATTGGTGAAGTAAATCCACACTTTG